ATTTAACATTGCAGATGGAACAGTTAATATTTAGTAGTTCATTTACATAGATAGCACTCATATTAAACACTTGCTTTACTTTTGTTTTGCCTACTTCTGCTTTTTGCTTCGTTAATATTAAAATAATGACTGAGGCTTGCATGCCAGCCTTGCATCTGGCACTACACTAAGCACTTAGTAAGGATCAACTTTTTAAATCTACATACACACAAAGCGCCTATGTTTTAGTGGGGTTAGGTAATTTGCTTGAGGTCTTAAAACAAATATATTGGGGGCCCAGAACTTCCCCTTAACACTGCCGTTAGCCTGCTGGAACAGAAGACTGCACTCGTAAATACATTGGTTACCATGAAAGTCTAATAAAATATTCCAAAGAATCACAAATGTTATCAAATTGTTAAAAGTATAGTAATGAACTATATGAGCATAACTTGAGAAGTGACTAACATTGTAGTGAATTTGTTTTAAAAGAAGGAATGTGAGGACTAATAACTTGCTCCCAGTATAAAGTGGATTCCTTTATAAAATCATTCTCCTATTTATACTGACAGGTAATGGAATTAATGGTTATTTAAAGTGCTGACTATTTTGTTTTTCATTATTTTTCTGAGTAATTTTCCATTTTTGTAATGGATCTATTAAGTTCTAAGGTCTTTTTCTTTGTGTTCCTTCTTCCCAATAGAATTGTTTTTGTCTATACAAATCACTGTAGATATTTGCAGATTCTAAACTATTATAAAATAACTGAAGACCATGATTACTCTGGTCTCTCCAAGTCTTCCTTCAGCATGCTTTTAAGATTTCATGGTTTTATCAAAGAGGGTAGTTGAAATTTTGAAATGAACCATCAGATAGGGTTCTAATACTATTTTCTCATATTCAGGAGTTCTCTTATCATCTGATCTTTTTTCTCCCAATTTACTTTTATTTATTATTAAAAAAATTATTTATGCATACAAGAACTGGGGTACAGGCCAGGGGCATGGGGTAGGGGGGAGAGGATTCACCAGAGACAGAATGGGAAACTGAACAGGCAGACCAATTGAACTACTCTGCTGAGGGATTAGAGGACAGGACAGGAGAGGTCTGCTGTGCCATTTGCGTCACCTCCCTAGCTAGGATCTAACCCTGTGCTTCAGTGGCTGGTACTATAATCCCTTGTACCACCAGGAAGGACCATATATCTAAGCAAAGTAAGTTTAAGGGGATCACATCAAGTGATTCCTGATTCCTTGGGGAAGCAGCTGGAGATAATGTAAGTTAAACTTAATACTTAGTCTAGGTTGGACCTTGTCTGACATCTCTCCTAGGGAGTGTTTCTCCTTGTCATTCTTTACTCTTCTCCTTAGAACTCCGCTTTCTCTCTTACTTCAATTTTAGTAACTATGTGCTTGACACCCTTAAGAATCCAAAGTAGAGAAACCTTAAGAAGCTGTGTCCTGATGTCAGCATGATTCTCTAGTGTGTCATTTGCTCAGGAAGGGAAAAAACAAAGTTCTGGGATACACTTTGTGTTCACTGTAAGGGCTTTTTCTTCAAAAAGATCCCATTGCCATGGGGAGAGTGACTCATACCCTTTACCTCTCAGCTACATTTGTTTTTTTGTTTTGTAACATTAGAAGGCAAGCAAGATTCTTGAAATCTTTAAATTTAACAGAGGTCAGTTTTAGATTTAAACCTCTTTTAGAACCTACAAGAAATCTAGTTAATTTTTACTAGCAAGATGGTAAATATGAATGATAATTGACAATAATCACTTTGAGGAGTAGAATTACAAAATTACAAAATTAAGCAATTAAATATACCCAGGTTTTCTTACTCCCAAAATGTGTTTCTACCCACAGAATACTGTATTGGAAAACTTCAGTTAGTGTCACTTCTAGGCACTAATTGCTAATTGCTTCATGTGCATAACTTTTATCACATTCTGCTCTGTTGGTGTTCAGTTTTATAAGAGAAGGATAGGTAACTTTGGAACTTACTGGCTGGAAAGCACAAACTTTGAAAGTTATCTGGTTGGGCCTCTAGGAAGTAATGCAGAAACACAACGCTGGCAGGTGGAGATGTTCCAGAAAGGAAGGTGTACAAAATATAGAGGTGACTGGCTACAAAAGGAACTTCCTTTTATAACAACTTTGAAAGATTAACAAAAGAGAAAATGTAGTATGAACATAAATATGAGAAAACTGAAAACTTATAACCAATAGTGAAGTAATAAAGAGTGGTTCTTTCTGTGCTTATAGCTAGTCAACAATCTTAATTCAAACAAGGCCTTTTCATCTTGATTATATATTTCAGTGTATGAACCTTTTGTCAGAGCCATGGAACTACTGTGGCAAGTAAGATAGAAAACTAAATTTGTAACGTTTTTGCAATAATAATTTTTACTAATAATTAGCAATTTTGCTTTAAAATGTTTAATTACAACAGAATTGTAAACAGACTCTAAACACAGTGCCTGACTATATTGGGATGTAATATAGTTGCTTTTTTTTTTTCATTAAAGATGGTTCTCCTAGGGACCTCCCTACTGGCACAAGGGCTTAAGTCTCAGCACTAGCAAGCTATTGCAGCCACTGCAGCACGAGTTCTATCCTGGCCAGGGAGCTGACCAGCTGTGCAACCCAGCTCCCCTCAGCAGTGTATTTCAGTCCATCTGCCTGTTCTGTTCTCCCCTGTCTCTGGTCAGTCATCTTCCTCATACCTTTTGGCCTACACCCCAGTTCTTGTATGCATAAATAAATAAAAATAAATCTTTTAAAAAATGATTTTCGTAAAAGTGATGTTTAGCAATGGATATGATTAAAAGTGTTGTTTGTGACCTGGTCATTTGAGATAGTATGTGTACAATGGCAGGTTTTGGTTTGTGTTCCTAGTGGGTATTTGCAGGCTTTGTGCTAGTGTTACATGGAACTATGTTTCTAAGACCCCTAAAATGCTTTGAGAGTATACCTTATTTTTCTGCTTATTCTTCATTTGGTGAATGTTTATTGGAATACCAACTGTTAGGCTTTGTAAGTATTATAGATGGAAGTATGTAATAAGATTCCTGTTCTTCAAGAGTTCAATCAAAAAAGAGCCAAGGCTATTCAAAAAATAAAAAAGAAGAAAGGAAGTGAAAAAAGAGAACCAAGGCTGTGAAGAAAGGAATGTCTCTTTAACAAATGGTGCTGGAAATGTGGATATGTTAAAAAAAAGAAACTAGATTATTTACTTAATAACATACACAAAAATTAATTCAAAATGGATTAAAGACTTCAACATGAGACCTGAAACCATAATGTGTATAGAAGAAAACACAGGTTACATACTCCTACACATAGATCACAGAAATGACTTTGAAGCACTAATGTGAGTGGCAAGAGTATTAAAAGCAAAAATAAATAAATAGGACTGTATCAAACTAGAAAACTTTAATTCAGCAGAAGAGACCACCACAAAAATGAAAAGAAATTGTACTGACTGGGAGAAGTTATTAATCATATATGCAACAAGGGCTTAATAATCAGAATATATAAAGAACTCACAGCTCAATAACAACAAAAACAAAAAGCATACAAACAAAAAAACCATTGCAGTCTAAAAGTGGGCAGAGGATTTGAGTAGTTGTCTCCCCCAAGAAGGCATGCAGATAATAGGCACATGAAAAATGCTCAAGTTCATTCCTGGTTATCAGTCCCCAGCTTATTGGTGAGCATACTTACTCAATAGCAGAATTTTTCAGCCTCAGCTCTTTGGCATTGGGGACCAGATAAATCTTCATTACAGGGGTGCTGTCCAGCACAACATTATGGGATGTAGCAGTGTCCATATCCTCTACCAACTGAAGGCAGTGACACTACCTCTTCCAACTTGTGACATTCAAAAAAATGTCTCCAGACATTGCAAGATGTCCCCCAGGGGCAAATAGGAACCAGACTTTATCTGTGTCATTAACAAAAAGCTTTGGTAAGATCTGCTTTTCAAAAGTGTAATACAAAGTCAGTAAGTGTAGTGAAACAACCTAGGTCTTTCATACAGAATTTATTATTTCATATGATTTCTCAAAGAGGAATACACAGTAGTAGTACTGAATAACTCCTAAATGGCAGTGTTTTAGTTTGAATGTCTTTGAGATCTCTTTCTGAGTTATGAAGTTGCTATGTTTAGGAGGATAATTGATCACTTCTTAGGAACTTCACTAAAACAATAAGTAGTACATAATTGGAAAAGGAGAACCTACTTTTTAAAAGATTTATTATTGATGCATACAAGAACTAGGGTAGAAGACGGAGGTTTTGGGGTAGGGATGAGAAGACTCACCTGAGACAGAGTGGGGAGCAGAACAGGTGGATCTACTGAAATACACTGCTGAGGGGAGCAGTGGGCAAGGCATGAGAGGTCTGCTGGGCCATGTGGGTCACTTCCCTGGCAGGCTCCACTTCAGGTGCAGTGGCTGCGGATAATTGAATAGCACTGAAACTTTAACCCCTACACCACCAGGGAGACCCAGATTTTACATTTAATAAAAACAGTTCTTTTATAAGCTCTTTGTATCAATGTTACCCTTTTCCTGCTAAGAATGAAAATATTTTCTTACTAAGTAGGGTGGACACCTGGCACATTTTTAGAATGTTTTCTGTGTTCTTCAGACACATGACTTTGGATTTTGTTACTAAGTTAGGAATGTTACCTAACTTAGACTTCTTCACTATACTGTATTTCAAACAATGTACAAAAAACATTGTACAACCAAGAACTCATTTTAACAGTCTCTTAAAAGCTTGCTTTCTTTAATGCATTCTTTCTTAAGGTAGAGGTTACCTTTTCCTTTTAGCAATAGCAATTCACTATAATGAGTATAATTTCTCTTCTGGTGCTAAGTAGCATCTAAGCATACATTTATTCTCTCGATCATATTTTCTGTACTTGTGTTCTAGAGAAATAAAGATACAGGAACATTTTTCCTGTTCTCCATAAATCCACACTCAAACTTTTATTTTGTATCCTTATTCTTACAGAATATCCGCATTTCCATTTCTTGCCTATCAAGAATTTTAATTCATCATGGATAATCTATCTTCAGAAGAAATTCAGCTGAGGGCTAACCAGGTTACTGATGAGGTAAATGTTTTACATGAAATAATTATCTTTCAGTTTTCACAGTAGAGGATGAGCAGACCTACTTAGAAAATCACTTTTGCTTTTCCCTACCAATACAGGGAATGCCCTGTATATTGAATAATGCATTTACTAGTACCATTGCTAGTTCCTTATTTTTTTCGACTCACCAAAAACCAAATAAGTGAAGACAATTTAATTTTTTAAGGTAGTCAGTATTTTTTTTTTTAAAGATTTATTTATTTGTACATACAGAACTGGGGGTACAGGCCAGAGGCTCAGGGGCGGTGAGAGGCTTCACCAGAGACAGAGTGGGGAGCAGAACAGGCAGATCAACGAAGTACACTGCTGAGGGGAGCAGCGGGCGGGTCAGGAGAGGTCTGCCACGCCATGTGGTCTCCTCCGGGGCAGGCGGGATTTGAACTCATGCGGAAGTGGCTTTAGCTTCCCAGTGCTGTGCTTTAACCCGCTGCACCACCAGGGAGGGCCGGTAGTCAGTATTTTAATAAGTTACTTACAATAAAGATAACTCTAGATTAAAGATGCTCTGGACATATAATTTTAATAGAATTCTGTAATAGCTGCAATATACCTAGATTTCTGTATCTATTAAATTTTTATAAATTCTGTTAGTATTAACCTCTAAGTTTTCTCTCAAATAACTCTTGGGAGGAAAAAAATAATTAAAGAAAGAGCTAGATGGATAGGCAATCTTTAAAAATACAGTAGCATCCAAAATATGGCCTGCGATTTTAAATATAGCCAGTGAGGGTTACTTTGGGGGTGGGGTGGCTGGTGGAAAGGGGCTTCATATGTTAAAAATACTAAAACAACTGTTTTTCCCTAGTCTCTGGAAAGTACAAGGAGAATCCTTGGTTTAACCATTGAGGTAAGAAAATGATTTTAATGATTAAGTATGAACTGTATGGGAGGGATCCCAATAGCAAAAGCTGGAATTGGTATTCAGTCAGAAGGCTATTGAATCAATAAGTTTATTTGAGATCAGAAATTACTGAATTGTTGCCCCATGTACTAATAGCACTTTTTTATTTTCCTCACTGATAATACTGGAAAATGACAGGGAAATCAGCTCACCATGAGTCTGTGACTTAATTGGGGAGGTAGGGTTTGGTTAATATGTTAAAGTCTGTTTTCTCTATAGCTCTAATCCTTTGAAAACCTAGGTTGCTAAATAGTTCTCTTTGTTATTTGTCAGGCCTTACAGGTTTTGTTTCCCTCATTTTTGTTTTGTTGAATATCAACTTTTTTCCCCTCTTTCAGGCTCAGGATGCAGGAATCAAGACCATCACTATGCTGGATGAACAAGGGGGTGAGTTGACATAATTGGCAGAAACTCTTTTTCTTAAGATTTTATTTATTTTTAGGTAGAAGAACTGGGGTACAGACTAGAGGTGCGAGAGGCAGTGAGAGGATTCACCAGAGACATAGTGGGAAGCAGAACAGGTAGATTGACTGGAAATATTGTGCTGAGAGGAGCTGTGGATTGGAGAGGAGAGGTCTGCTGTACCATGTGACTCCCTTCCCTGGTGGGGGAGAGAACTCATGCTGCAGTGACTGTGGAGAGCTTCATAGTGCTGCGAATTTAACACCTTGCACCACCAGGGAGGTGGCAGAAACTCTTGATTTAACTTATAATGCCAGAAAACATTTTCAGACCAACCATACATAAAACTCAACTTTTAGTCATGCTTTCCCCTTGTAAGATAAGAGTGATTTGTTTACTTTTTTCCTTCTCATTGGAATCGAATCATATCCTTTGCCTACTTGAGGGAGAGGCAGCAATGCTCAGTTGTATTCCAAATGTTTGGTAGATACCAGGGCTTATTGCATGTATTAGACATATTTACATTAGACATTATGAAATTCTTACATCATTTTCAGGCATCAAGGTGAGTCTTCAAACAAGTCTGGATTCGGGTGCACTTAGAAACATTCCATTTGAATTGGCCCTAGCAACCTGATCTAGTTTTTATTGATCTTAGAATGGCATGCAGGTTCTTAGTCTATTCAGTAATAGAAATACTGGGGAACTGGTCTGGTCAAAGAACATTTACAGTGTTATCTCTAAGCAAACCTCACATTCTCCTAGTATGTAGATTTCTTTAGAACAAATCATTCCACATGAAGAGGCCAGGTGGTTCAAAATCAGTATGTGAAAAGATAGTTTTCATGTTGGACAGTGTATCATGCCTTCTGGCACTTGTTGGTTATATAGTAGGTTCTTGGTGGATTCAAGATTGAAGTTTTCTACTATAAAATAATAGTGTTTTCTGGGTGCATGTGAATGTCACACACAATTTAACTTCTACAACTTATTCATAGAACAACTAAATCGCATAGAAGAAGGCATGGACCAAATAAATAAAGATATGAGAGAGGCAGAGAAGACTTTAACAGAACTCAACAAGTGCTGTGGCCTCTGTGTCTGCCCATGTAATAGGTGAGTTGCTAAATCAAGACCTTTTTAAAATAAGGTCAGATGTGTGTGGCTTAAATTGACCAGTCCTTGTTTGGATCAAGTCCCAATTCATTTTTCAATTCTAATAATATTATTTCCTTCCAAAAGTTGGGAAATACACATCTGGATAATACAGAGCAGGATGGAATTCGTGTCCTTTTCAAATAAGGACTATTAACAAAATATATATTCTATGGGTAGCATAAGAGGGGTGACTTGGCTCTGCTCTCTAAAGACTTGTGGTTAGATATGTGAGAAAAAAAAATAAAAAATATATAATTCTAGTGCTACTTCCTATTGACCAAAGCTTTATTTATAACTGATGTAAAAGAAGTAGATTTAATTTGGCCTGAGTGATTAGAAAACTATGGATGGGTATGGAATACTGGGAGGACAGTTGTATACAATGTAAACAAAGATTAAGGAGATTCTTGACTTAATTGAGCTGCATATCTCATATAAATTAGAATATAGAAAATAACATATATAAAAGCATATAAGAACTTGAATGCTAGACTAGGGGTAAGGGGCTTAAAGTGGAATATATAACTGTATAGTAGGAGACTAGTTGAGAACCTTTTGTATTCCATGCTTGTGAAGTAAGAGTTTTTCATTGAGAATTTAGAGAGAAAAGTGTAAATTATAGAGAATTCATTAAGGCAATTGATTATATATCAATCACAAAGAAGGCTGAATCAAAACTAGAGGTTTAGTTTAAATAAAGTAGGAAAGGAAATTTCAAATGTTAGATTATTCTGGACAGAAAGGAATATCTTTATTTTTAGTGACTCCATTATGAATATTCTTTTTCTTAGGTAAACCAAACTCCATAGTGCTGACAAACATGTATGCATTCATACCAAGATGTGGGTTGGACTCAGGCAGTTAACCTTTGCCTTCCCTTCTGTTAGAAAGAGTTCATCTTTGTTTTAAAAAGCAATTAGCAAAACAACTTTGAACTTTACCCTTAGTTAAAACGACAGTGTCTGGAGATTAAATTACCATTCTCACTTATGAAAGTACAGCAGGTTCTCCATAATATCATAACATTGATGAGAATAATCTTGGCCAGCACAGAAAATAAAAACTATTTTTAGAAGACTGACTTTTGTTATACCCCCAAAAGCACAGTTTTCAAGAATCTATGAATAGTGTTAAGTGATGATGTACTGTGTTTATTTTTTTAAATTTCATAAGTGTAAGTACTTCCTACGAGTTATGTCAACTGATGTTCTAAACCAAGAGTGAGATACACAGGTATAAGGCTGCCAGCATTTTCACTCCTAAAAGGAATGAAGAATGGAGAAACTTTTGTTATATTGTCACACTTTCAGATAAGTCCTTCCATACAACATTCTTTGTGCCATCTCTATCAGAGTTAAGTAACTTGTTGCCCCAATAGGATTTGATTTTGGTGTGAGAAGTCAGGATTTAAGCATGTTCATTCTAGTTTTGTCCATTGACCTCCGTTTCAACTTTGGTTGAATTTCTGAAAGTACATTTTTATTTTTAAAGATTTATTTATTTATGCATACAAGAGCTGGGGTACAGGCCAGAGATGCAGGGGTTGGAGTGAAAGGATTCCCCAGAGTCAGAGTGGGTTAGCAGAATAGGCAGATCAACTGAAATTCACTGCTGAGGGGAGCAGCGGGGTGGGCTGGGGGGGTCAGGAGAGGTCTGCTGTGCCATGTGGGTCACCTCCTTGGCCAGGGCTCAAATTAATGCCGCAATGGCTGCAGATAGTTTCTTAGCACTTTAGCCCTTTGTACCACCAGAGAGGTCCCTGAAAGTACTCTTTTCTTGTTCATCAGAGTTTAGCAGATTACTTTAAGTAAACAAGTTATAAATGCACAGATTATTTGAACAAAACAGAGTCTGCAAATTTACTTGGCCTTCCTCCTGTGTACCTTCTTGAAAGAGTGCAGAGAAGTAAAATAATTTCCTTGGAATTAGATATTAGGAGAAGAGCAGGGAGGAAGAAGTACTTCGTAGAACCTAGAGTAAAGTCAACTTTGGGTCAGGAATTGATAAACCAGAATAGCACTTGAGTTGGAAGCTGGTCTACTATCATAGAAAATGGGAAATGGAGCTATAGAAGTATAAATTTTATTTCTCTTGTATCTCTGTATCCCAGCCAAGCATAGGCAAGATGTTCGTGGATACTGGTGAGAAAGAAGGTAGAGTATGTTCTTGATGCAGTCTTCAAACTCTCACCTCTAAAGAGCCTTCTTTCAGTGGGTCAAAAGAAGAGGTTCAACTTAACAGATGGAATTGAGGGGCTGCCATAAGAAAACAGTTGTTTCCTGTTGTGGAAAAAGTAATTTTCCAGGAAAAGGTGTCTGCTTTTAATTGCCTTCCTTCCACCTATTTTTTCTTCATACCAAGAGTCTTGTCTTGGCTCTTCTGTCTCCTATCACAGTCCTGTCGGTGCCTTTCTAATCTCATCTGCTCATCTGTGTTTCAGTCAGACTTATGTAAATAACCATAATGTGAACTATTCAAAGGCTAATGGATCTTGGTCTTAGGATTTTGGTTTTCTTGGAACAAGACTAGGAATAATTCTGGTGGTAGTGGTAACGGCCCAATTTTTTTGTCTCTTGGTTGCTATTAAGAAATCTAAAACACAAGCAAATATTGTACCAAATGGAACAATGATGTAAAATATAAATAAATAACTTTTTAAAATTAAAAAAAAATCTAAAACACCCTGAAAGTCAAAAGTTGTGTTTTGTCTTTTATATAATGTGATTCCATAACTCATTCATTAGTGTACAAAATGTAACCTGAACTGAAGTGACTTATCACTTTTATCACACTTAGTATAATTGTTAATTTGTTTCACTATAGACATATTGATATATTTGTCAGTTAAGTTATAATTCTAACTAAGAAATTTAAAAGAAGGCACACTTAACCATTGGAAGTCTCAGAAAAGCAAACTGCCTCATATTCTACTTTAATCCTCAAATAAGACATGCCTCTTTTTGGTTTGTGCTCATTGTGTCGGTGGTGCATAGTTTGAAGACAAGTTGTTATTTCTGGACCACTTACTAAAGAAGTTCAGCATCGGCACTACAGGGTTGCTATTCCTCTAATCTTATTGAGATGTAATAACCAGCTCTGATAGGTTAAAGCAGTTACTGAATTATACTCCAATTAACTTTTGTACTTTTCCTCCATCCTACTCAAGATATCAAAATGACTAAGATATACTATCTTATCATTACTCTATTTTTTATGCCCCACATGATACCTCATCCATACTGTGTGCGCAATAAATACTTGTTATTTATATGTTCTCTCAAAGTTTATTGGGTGACAAAAGAGTTATACCTATAAAAGGTTTTAAAAATTAAAATGCAAATAAAGCATATAATAGAAACAAATAAGAGATCTGTAAACATAATGGAAAGAATGTGACAGTTTCACAGTCTCTCCATTAGTATTTACGTTCTCTTCATATTTATTTTCATAATTTTAGGAAAGACTGACTTCATCTAGACATCTTGAGAAAAATGGAGTGTACTCTGTTAAATTGTTTGTTTTTCTTTTTTTATCTAGATTCTCAGATGTTGCTTATTTCTGTGAAACCAGGCAGGAATTTAATGCATTGTTTTGAAAACTTTAAATCTGCATCTGTCTGTTTGACTGGCATTCACTTTTTTCTGCATTTCATTCTCTCACCTAATCTCTTCCTTTCTAACCTGCTTACTAAAAAATGAAGATTTAACATCAGAAGCCGGGCTCAGTAACTGATCAAAGGGAACTTTAAGATGCAGTCTTGTGGCGCAGTTTGGGCTGTTAACCTGCTGTCTAAAGGTGATGCTTCCGATGACTATTCTGTGCATGTGCATGGATTTTGTGAGTAGTGGAGAATGTGGTGAAAACTGTGCTGTGATGTGTAATGTAAAGTGAACTACTTCTTAAGTATGTTGTCAGCCAAAACATGGGTTTGGAAAAAAGGATTTAAATTTATAAACCACCCTTTGACTAATGACTTGATAACTAAGTTTTGGCTAAATAACATTTAAAATCATAAAAATGAAAACATCCCTGAAATTCCTAAGAGGGTTTAAGTAGGTTGATCTTTGTAGGGAATTGCTGCATCCCGTTCTGAGCAAAGGTAAGGGAATTTAAGCTAAATCCATCTCTTTCCTTAAGAAGTTTGATGTTAGCATCTTCCTTTCCAGTTCCAGAGGCAAGGTTTTCTCTATTTGGATTCTTACGGTTTAGGGCACTACCAAATTGAGAAATTAATCACCAATCTAGTCATCTTGAATGCCATTTGGAACAAGGTGGGATATAAATTTAAAATCCTGCATTGTGTAATCTCTTCTTTTTTTATACAAAGTGTTGTTCTGCTTTTATAGCTCAGTACAATATGTTCCATAATTTCCATCATGTCATGTGTTAGCTTGCTGTGATTTCATGTAGAATGCAGAGTTAACTAATCTCAGCTTTATAGACATTAACCCTCTAGTATTACAGTGTTTGATGCCTTAATTTTGAATCTTTATGGAACTGATTAAATGTTAAGAGAATCAAATATTTGATTTCTACCCTTTGTTTCTTGCCCCCCCCTTTTTCTTCTTTGTTTTTGTAGCCTGCTCATACAAGACACACATTCATACTCATAAAAATTGGACTTTATTTGACCCCTTTTCTCCTTAATATGCAAAAATTATAGCTAATACTGGACTTTCTTTTTTACTATTTGTATTCAGTTAGTACTAGTGTTGACTACCAAAACTAGCAAAAGAATTGTTAACAGATACTGTTTCCTGATACTTACTTTCAACTTTTATAGCTGTTTCTTGAATTGATTAGATGTTTCAAAGTATTTCAAACTTGTCATTTTTTAATAAGACATTAATGTAGGGAAAAAGCAATTAAAATTATTAGACCACTCAAAACTGACAGTTGGGTAAATCTAGCTTTCCAAATAATTTTTAATAATATTAAAACTGGTCACAAATTCGGTGATTTTATTATGAAGACTAATTTCTTCATAATTTAAATGCAAAAATGTTATCTCAGATCAGAATCATTTCTTTCTTATTATAAACTGAAGTCACCTGAGCATAGATATCTTTTTATGTAACCATTTTCCAACTATATTCAGCTACCTGAAGATCTCAAAGCTGGGGAATGTTAATGGAGCAGAAGAGTAAACGTGATAGTTATAATCTGTGTACTGGTAGGCATGACCTAAGGTCAGGTTGAGGTTGAAGTCAAAGAATAAAAATAATTGTCCAGTACTTTGTAAGGCAATTTTATGTCCCTTTTACTATCCTGTAAGTATTAAAGATGATTGTTTTACATATAAGGAAAAGAATGGTTAGCTATTAAAGTTTGTCTATAGCTACCAAATGACAGGTCTAGGATTGGAATGTAAATTTACTACAAAGTTTGCTACTTAAAAAAAAAAATCCTAGGTGTGTAAATTTGTTTCCATCAGAATAATTCTTCAGGCTCCCAGTATATAGAAGTGCTAAGGTAGACTGCTCTAGTAATCCAAAATAGTCCTTCTGCAACAGATTAGAATTCTCTTAGAACAATGTTTCTCTTCCCTGACTGATACTGAATAAAAGAAATAATAAAAGATCCCTGAGTCCACTTTATACAATACAATCTACAGATTGTGACCTATTCATCTGTGTGTTCAACGGCATTAATCTGTTTGGGAAATACTACCTTTAAAACATTTAAGATCCTTGATTTTGGAAGTACATATGATTCTTTGTAGATTATGCTTGAACCTTATTCACAGTATCTTGTTAAAACAATTCACTTGTATCTTATGCCTATTGTATACAATTTGGAAAGAATTCTCAAAAGTTTAAGGAATTTCAAACATATCTCTTAAGGTTGAGGAGATTGGAGCATGTATCTACCCCTTGATAGAACGGGAACCCACACATTCTGCTACAGTCTACTCTTTATGTGCTAATATGCTCAAAAACTTTATGGTAACTTATTTAGGGGCTTTTGAATCCAATCCCTCACTCTTTGTCCTATTAGAGAATGTGACATCCTGCTAGAAGACCCATTTACATTACTTGTATTAATACTTCTGATTAACTTCCTCATAAATTATTTTGTTTACTAGCTAGTACTCTGCTTTAGAATTTTGCCTGATACCTTATAAACAAAGAATACGTGTAAATGGCTTTTTACCAACCAGATAAATATGTGTAAATATTCATTTAAAAAATTATATCCCACTTTGTTCCAGAAAAGATTTAACATGGCTGACTTAATAAATGAATAGATTAAATAATTAAATGTAATGACATAAATAGGAAATTGTGAGAGCTAAAAATGTAACAAAGAAAGGCACTTTGAGCTATTTTTGGAGATTCATAGGTTTATCTACTTTTTCAGAGCCTCTTACCAACAATATTATAATTATAATAGCAATATTATAGTATACTTTTGTATCATTAATGAGTAAAGTCTAGGATCCAAATCTAGGTTACCAAAAATGAATTCTCACATGTCTATTTAGGAAGGAGCCACTGCTTTCATGAAACTTCCCCCGCTTTTGCAATTTCATAAAGTTGTATGAGTGACAATTCACAAAAAAATATGTAAAAAAGTTATATTTGTGTCACTTATTTGGTAATAGCTATTTAAAAATCGATAGACTAGGATCTTTTTCTTGCCATTTATACCTGTTTCAGTAGTAAATTCCATGGTAAAATTTTGACTTTGTCTGAGTTTTGCCTATATCAGTTACATCTAAAGTATTTCCTTTCAAGGATATAGGATTTTTTTTTTTTTAAGGAAAATAAGTGGTCTTTTAAATGAAAAGCCCCAAGCCCAAAGATTTGTAACTAGCACCAGTGTCGTCAGGGTAGTTATTCTTTGACTGTTCTATTTGGAAATAATCCATACTATTCCTTCATAATGTTTGTTTCTTAAGAAATCCTTTAAAAAATGTTAATGCCTATGGTGATGGCACATGGGTGATTTGGTGATGGGAAGCTTATGGGGATTACAACTGAGATGGAAAAAGTTGATGTAAAAATAAACTGTTGTATTATTAAAAGAAAACAACTTTTAATGCAAAATTCTAACTTGAAAGACTAAGTGGAACCACTCTGATTCCAGTAAGTGGCATCTAGAGTCTAAGTATTGCCCACTCAGTCGCCTTATTCCTCCATCCCTCATCAACCTCTACGATGCCTGCCTGCAAGGAACCTTTAAGGCATCTCCAAGCACTTTTCCTGCAGGAACTTTTTCTTTTCTGGAGCATGTCACAGGTTATGAGAAAAATCAGTAATTGCATTTGGCTACTTGCCAACTGCTTAGTGAAGTTTTGCTGGAAATACTTTAAGCTTTTAAAAAAATGTCAGTGAGCTTTCATAATTCATCTTTTTCCTAAGCTGTATTGCAGAGCATAGTACACATAATCTAGACCTAACCGTATAGAGCTTTGATGCTAAGGGTGGTGGTAAGTCATCCTTAAGGTAACAAGCACTAACTCTCCCTTTCCTGCTTTTTGGTATCTCCCTACACCCCTGACTCTTATACAGGACAAAGAACTTTGAGACTGGTAAGGCCTACAAGGCAACATGGGGAGATGGTGGAGACAGCTCTCCTAGCAATGTAATATCTAAGCAGCCAGGCCGAGTGACAAATGGTCAACCTCAGCAAGCAACCACAGGGGCAGCCCGCGGTGGATACGTTAAACGGTATGCTAGCTCCTCTCAGTGTTGTCAACCCTTATCTATCAGAGTAACGCGATAAGGAGAATGGGTTAGTTCTCCATAAACCTAACTACATCAATAAGAAATAGTATTTATTCTGTTTCTAAAATACATTTTAAAATCTCCCTCTCTTGTTTGGTAACCACCCCAGGCCAGGTAGATTCAATTCTTGCAGATGAATAGGTAATTTTGGAACCTTCAGTAGATTAAAAAAAAAAAAAAAAAGATTTATTTATTTGTGCATACAGAACTGGGGTACAGGCCAGAGGTGCAGGGGTGCTGAGCGAATTCACCAGACAGAGTGAGGAGCAGAATAGGCCGACTGATGTAGTACACTGCTGAGTGGAGCAGCGGGCTGGTCAGGAGAGGTCTGCCGCGCCATGTGGGTCACCTCCAGGGCAAGTGGGGATAGATCTCATGCTGAAGTTGCTTTAGCTTCTTAGTGCTGTGCTTTAACTCACTGTGCCAGCAGGGGGGGCCCACCTTCAGTAGATTTTTACTGGTGTAAAAATTTTAATGCTAAATTAGGGGACAGACCAGCTTTCTCTTTCAGCACTTCTGTCTTCTCCCGTGGACTCAGAGTGACGCTGATATTATAGCCCCTGCCCCTCAGCACAGGTGTCCACATTTACATATGCACATGCCCGCTGCTCTCTGGGCCCAGGTGTCCCTAATCCTAGCAATGTGCAGGACCACAGGTGCTGGCCATAGAAGCTAATGGGGGTATGGGTGAGCCTGACTTTTCACTTACCCTGTAGTCTGACTCTGTTTTGGGCCTTCAATAATGGATTGACTTTTCTTTATATTTTACAGTAATTTCTAAATTATTGAAATAAGCATCTTTTATACTTCTGTATAGGAAAGTGTGTTTTAAAATATATTGTCTAGAGTAGGAGTTACCATATCTCTCTGGAAGTATCTATAAAGGGTCACATAGTAAATTTTTCAACCTTTGCAGGCCATAGTCTCTCTCTCAGCTACTCTGTTGTGGGTGAAAGCAGCTACAATAGGTAAGCAAATGAGCACAGATTCAACAGATGTGCCAGAGTTTTTGAATCTCTGTATTAGAACAGTGTTCTGTTTTAGATTTAATATTGCATCAGAATCATCTGGAAAGTCTTTTAGACTAGATTGCAGGGATCTACTTTTGTCTTTGATTCAGTTGATCTGGAGTGAAGTGTGAAAGTTAGCATGTTTACATGTCTAGCCAGTTCACAGGGGACACACAGTTTGAGAATAGCAGTTGAATTGTTTCTTAATCGTCACTTACATAGCTTTAAGGAATTATGCTCTCTTTGATCAATCTTTCAATTTTTACTATAGTATGTTTAACAAGAATGATAACCTTGTTTCCTTGGGTCCTATAGTGGCAAGGAGTCATTTTGGTTATTGGTTTTCATAAAAACTAAATCCAGACTTAGTTTATTTACAATTCACCAATCAGTACTGAATTTTCTTTTTATGATAGTATAACTAATGATGCCAGAGAAGATGAAATGGAAGAGAACCTGACTCAAGTGGGCAGTATCCTAGGAAATTTGAAAAACATGGCCTTGGACATGGGCAATGAGATAGATGCTCAAAATCAACAAATAGAGCGGATCACAGAAAAGGTAACAAAAAGCCTTCATGACAGGAAAATGAGACAGCCAGTATAATGTTTTAGCAGTGGACATCTATGCCAAAGCTTAGGGGGAGAACAGTAGGATAAGACCCTGTCTTCATAAGAATTAGAGTTTTGATGTGAGTATAACTGTAACACATTGAAAACCAATAACTAAGTCCTCCTGTCTGGCTCATGGCAGTTGTTTCATTTTGAAACCAAGATCTTGGGATGCAGCAGTTTTACTTAACCTTGAATACATGATGCTTAGTATTTCCTTTAGCCCATAGACACACAAAATGAAGGGTCCCGTGGGGGAAGAAACAGTATGATTACTCTTTTTATTTCACGTTATAAAAGATAATGAAAGTAAAGCTGTGTTCAGTTTTCAGATGTGTCACATCTAAAAGCCATTCTTTAGAATTTTATTGTGCTTTGGGTATATGCACCCCCATGTTTACTGCATTAGTCACAAACGTCAAGAAACAGGAAATATCTTGTCTGTCAGCAGATGAATAGACAACAAAGATGCGAGGCATATGAGAAGGAAATCCTGCCACTTGAGACAGCATGATGGAACTTTAGGGCATTATATTAAGTGAAGCCAGTCAGGGAAAGAAATACTGTACGTTAACATACATATGGAACCTAAGATGTGTAAACCCCTAGAAACTGAGCATAGAATGTGGTTTTCATAAAGCACAAGAAAAAATATGAAGGTAAAGGAAATGAAAAGATGTTGATCAGATGTTATAAAATTCCAGTTATGAATAATTCTAGAGATGGAATGTCCAACAAGGTATCAAAGTTAATAATACTTTATCATATCACTTGAAAGTTTCCAAGAGAATAGATATTATAGGTTTAATACAATAATAAATAAATAAAAGGTGATTTTGTGATTAAAAATTTTTTTATTGTGCTTGGAGTAAGTTTTTAAGCTTGGCTGTCTGTTGAAACCAGTAACAATGGATTTCACTGAGGCAAACAATGGTTCATGTGATGCTTTCAGTGCTGTAATGTGGGTTTAGGCTGCATATTACTCATCATTTAAATACAGATACTGAATTATATGAACAGATGGTAATACATCTGTTCCAAAAACTTAAGCGAAGGTTATTTCAGTCAGTCCAGGTTAGAGCTAGGGTAGTTCCAGATGAGCTTCTAAACTTAAGACCTTCCATTCAGGGGATACCCACAAAGTCGATAGCAGAGAAGGATCAGTTATATTCATTGTGTCTAAAATACCACTGATCTTAAGATGCATCCCAGTTTCAGACATGTTAAACTATGAGGAAAATGTGTTCTAGGATTCATGAAATATTGGCAACTTGTTATATACCTTTGTCATGCCTAAAAGGATTTTGCAATGTTATTTCAGCTGTTTCCCAAATTTTCTGTGTGTCCATACCTTCAAATGTTTGGAACATAACTTTTATTAGAGCAACTTACCTTGTAAAGTAATGTTTGATATCTTTCTTTTTTTCCAGGCTGACACCAACAAAGATCGTATTGACATAGCCAATGCCAGAGCAAAGAAACTCATTGAAAGCTAAACTACTGCTGTACTTCTTTATCATTTATTCATTTTTCTAGTTCCTCCTTTAAAGTTATAGCCTGTTCAGTTTGAACTTTTGGTTCCATGCTTTTCTGTGGAAAAGGGCTAGGAGCAACAGCACCCCTATTTTCTCCCTGGAAGGTAGACTGCTGCTCACCTTCCTTCTAGTGTTTTCCCCCCTCAGTTTGTAATCCTTGATTGGTTTGTCTACATCACCTATAATGCTGTTTTTCCTCTCCCTAGTTTACTTTCAGTTCTTTTGCTTTTGAATTTGGAAGCACTGCCAAAGATGGCCCCGATAAAGGAAGCATGGGGAGAGGGGGTACAAGAAAGAGAAGCAAGAGATAAGAGGTTATTACCTCAGTAAAACCTATAGGCAACAAAACAAAGCTACAGTAAAGACATGACTGGGTTTGTTTAGTTGTTAAGTTGCAGTTATTGCCAATTTAAGTTAATACTTGGCTTTGGCGCTTTCATACACATTATTTTTGTTATCTACCACAACTTTGCAACCTCTGCTCCAACAAAGAATGCTTAAGTTTTCTTAAAGTAAACTTAATTTCTGAGCTCTTGGTGATTTATCTATGAATATGGATTCTATGTTCTCATTTCATACTGCACCATTCAGGAACACTTGTACAAACGAAAGACTTTTATTTTCATATTAGTAAGTAGTATTGTCCGTTACAAGTCTGTTAACCTCACAAACTTGTCATTAGCCTTTAAAGAAAAAAATATATGTAAATATGTATGCATAACATGAGAATTTCTCTGTAAAGCAGGGCTTAAAACTTTTTGGGAAAATTTGACAAAGTATATCACGTGAATTCAGATTTACCTCAATGTCAAGAATTACGTTTAGATAGAGGAAAAAAGAAACTTCATTTAGGTAGAAAAAGATTGTTTTAAGATTTATGTAGTTTTAGATTTAGAAAAAAAAAGCTAGAATTCTGTTTAACTGAAAATGATTGAAAATATACCTTTGGTTTAATTATTCATGATTGCACTATCATTCTCTTATCCTTGTGTGTTGAACTATGTCCAGAATCAGGTTTCTTTAGATCCTGAACAGTGCTACAAGAATCTAATTGGTATTTGTCATTTTATTTAAAAACTAGCACACTTCACAGCCATTAATGTGTATTGGTTTGACCAATAACCACAGCTTAATCCTTACAATTAAATTTTATGATTAATGTAATTGTTCAAATAGGTAATGTGTTTCTTTGACTGTTTGGGGGGAGGGGCAATATTTTATCTGCTCTCATTTAACATATTGAATAAAGCCAAGGACTATAAATCAAGAAGCACTCCAACCAAAAACTGCCTTTAGCACCTTTCCCATTTTATTGGACAGACATACAGGACTTTCCTTCTATGACTTGTCATAAGTTTTATTTTATACATTACTAGTCTTTTATTCACTTGAACTTAAACACACCACTGACTGGAAGGATGTTTATGAGCAACAACTACAACCTGCATACTAGAGAAGATAGAATTAGCATGGGCACTTTCAGGGGCTGAAGGGGGAAATATTTAAAGTGAGATTCAATTAGGCTCTCTGTAAACTGCTGCATGCCATAAAGAGTAGGTGATGGTACATGTGTAAAATACAAGGACACAAAACACTGCGGACTGTGTTATATCTAAAAACATTTTTCTTAAATTTAACATTGTTATGGGGAAAGACAACATTCTGACACTCCCAATATACACCTGTTTAGTATAATTGGTGGGAAATGTGAGCTAAGGCACCAAATCACCTGCATTTATACTCTGCCACTGAATGTTTATAGTCCCATTTCTATTCCCAAGTTTCCTTGTTTGTGAGTTTCCTACCTGTAGAACTGTTGCAAAGACATGGTGATGTACATAAAGCACTTTGAGCAGTGCCCGGGAAATATAATGCTTATTGATAGCAGCTGTTTGTTTTCTTTTTTCTATTTCCTTTTTTAATGTCTCATTTTCTTTCTTCAGTTCACTGATTGCTTGTCTCATATTTTTCATTTCATTTTCATTTCTTTCATTCGTTTCCTTCAACTCCTGGATGGTTTGCCTTATTTCATTTTGTTTATCATGATGATTCTGAATTCTTTATCTGGTAGGTTGAACAGTTCTTCTATTTCTTTGGTGGTTTCTGTTGCCTGATCTTTTTGTGAATTTTCCCCCTGTGGACTTGCTTGAATATTTGTTTGTCTTCTTTTCCCTGTTGTGTATTTTCTGATACTTTCTATTCGCTGAGATACGGTGTTGCTATTATTGGCCGGCATTTTGTTTTTTGGATGTTCTTTCTGGAATAGCTGAGGGACTTCCAGACACTTCAGTTGTGGAGGGTATTCTGAGTTGTGTTGTTTTTCCCAGCCCCTACTGTGTGTAATTGTGTCTGTTGTCTCAGCTGGTAACAGTCAGGGGACTCTTGTGTTGTTCAGCCTCTTCTAGTAACACATTGAGGCCGTGTTTCTGGAAGGTGTCTGTTGATCTTTGTAGCCTTTGGATGTCCCAGATTCCCTCTATGCTTGGTGTGCCCGTGGCGGTTATGATGAATTAGAAGTGTTGTAGGTCTCCCTGGAGCTGGGCCTTTGGTTGAGTACTGTGAGCTCCCAAGTCTCCTTCTGGCCTCTGTTGTGGGGGTGGGATCTCCCCTTCCCCACAGGAGTGCAGGGGAGTGCCAGAGGGCTGAAATCCTCCTGGCTGAGCAGTCTGCCAGTGCTCCCTTTGAGCTTACAGGGCTCTTTTTGTTTAGTCCAAATAGTCCCACCCTGAGCAGTGCCTCCCCCCTGCCTTAGGTCCTTTCACAGAGCCCAGCTGTATCTCTTTAACTCCAGGGTTTTACCACAGTTTTTGTGGGTAGATGTGGTAAGCAGGTAGACCCCTGAGCAAGTCTCCCCATTTGAGGAACTTCCTAGGGCCTCTCTATGTTAAATGTGCCCATGCAAGGTTGTTAAAATTGCTGCATTATCCTAGGGTTGGGCCTGTGGTTGGGTCCCGCCCCCCCGCAGCAGCTTGGGATCCACTCACCTAGCTGTGTTGTCTCAGTTTATATCCAGGGCTTTGTCGGGGCTGCTGGGGCAAAGGTCTGCAACAGGTCTGTGGTGTATTGGGTCTCTGGTTCTGAGCTGCAGCCTTTTCCCACGATTTGGTTTCCCCTCCCTAGCTGAATTGTCTCAATTTATCTCCAGGGTTGTAGCAGGGCTGGGACAAAAGGCTGCCAAACAGCCGCAGCTGCCGCCTCAGGCAGTGCTTCCTGGCGTCCGAGTGCCTGGATTTTTAAAGGAGCCCAGCTAGTTGGAAGCCGGTGGCGTTCCCGGATCAGGTCCTGCCTGTGCGGCTTCCCTTATGGGAACTCCCCAATCGCCGGTTCTCCCTCAGTTATTTTCCTTCTAGTGAGTCCAGGGCGTTCTCATTTGGGTTGAAACTCGTAGCATGAAAGTCTATAGTCCATTTTTATATAATCCCGTGCGAGTTTGGATGTAGTCGTCTCGGTGTCTATTCTGCCGCTATCTTGCCGGTTCCTGAGCTGGTCGAGCTTATCAGGGGCTTTGCATGGCGCCCAGGTGCACCAGATAGGGTCTGCAGTTTCAGCGGTTTTTCCCTTTCTGCAGCCTGGGCTCCACTCACTGAGCTGAGCCTTTCCTCTTTACCTCCAGGGTTTAGCTTGGGGCGAAGTGGCTCCTGCAGCCCAAGGAACTTCCAGGCTCGCCTGGGTTTTCCCAGGAGTTCCCTTCTCAGTTATCTGCCTTCTAGTGAGTCCAGGGTGTTTTCATTTCGGTTGAAACTTGCAGTGCGTAAGTCTATAATCCGTTTTCAGTCCTCAATTCCTATGCAGGCCTGGACGCAGTGATCTTGGCGTCTTTACCCTGCCTGCCGCCATCTTCCGGAAGTCCCCGCAGCTGTTTTTTTTTTTTTTTTAAGATTTATTTATTTATGTACATAAGAACTGGGTACAAGCCAGAGGTGCAGGGGTGAGAGGATTCACCAGAGTGGGGAGCTAACCAGGCAGACTGACTGAAATACACTGCTAAGGAGAGCAGCGGGAGGTCAGGAGAGGTCTGCCATGCCATGTGGGTCAGCTCCCTGAATTGAACTCATGCTGCAGTGGCTTCAGACAGCTTCATAGTGCTGTGCTTTAACCTGCTGTGCCACCAGGGAGAGCCCGATAGCAGCTTTTCTCTTGAGAGTAGCAGCTTTTCTCTTGAGAGTAGCACTCTTGAGTTAAGGACCCATTTGTGAATTTGATGAAAAACAACATATCCTGTCTCCCAAACTAGACATAAAAACATATGTAGAGAATATGTATGTATAGAGAGACTAGAGAGAGAGGGGAAAGAGTGAATTCATGCAGAAATGGCTCAAACATGTATCACAGGCTCAACCATGTATCACAGGTAAAGGCAGTTAGAAAGAGGCACTGTGGGTCTAAAGAGCAGAATATGGTATGACTGAGCAGGCAAATTAAAGTGCAGTGAGGCTTGGACCGACCAAGGTATGAAAGGTAGCATTTACTGATTCTCATGGGGCTGGGAATTTTTTAAACATCGATAATTAAATGGCTAGGACATTTAAATTATATATTTGTAAGTTCTGATTTATTAGATGGTAAATTATGGAATGTTCATTTTCAGTAGTTCAATAAAATTAAACATTTAACAAGTTTATTAAAAAACAACTGATAATGATAAACTGGTATCTTGGTTTGAGAAACTACCCCAAAATGATAAACACAGAAAAAAGAACACCTAACCCAGATAGAATGTGAAAGAAAATCTTCCTCATTTAAATACTAGGTTCTTGTGACTTCTTGATTTAATGACTAGACTAGGTTTATAAAAAGAGAACTATAAATATATAGTAAATAACAGCTTTTTGGAAAAGACAAAACTTCATAAGATGACAATGGTAGCTTTCTAAATGTCAATTACGATCTGAAATCATCTATCTTTGTACCTTCAGTTTCTCTTAATAGGCGTGGTTCCAGTACTACAAAAAACTTATCAGTTATTTGAAGATATTTCCCTACTTACCCTGAACAAGAACATGAGATATTTCTTCTTAATCAGTTTACTTTCAAATGAGGCCATTTGCATGCTAATATTCTCCTATCCTCTTCTTTAAAGGATTAACCTTTCTTCCAGCCAGATTTCATTAAAAATACTTTATTTAGTATGTTCTCCCACTCAGAATAAACTTGATAAACATAGTTTTTTGATAGGTAATTTGATTAGTAATTATAAATACAAAAAAGGAAAACTATTACCAGAAAGAAGACATTATTTCTAATGCAGCTTCAGGAAAATCTTGATTATTAAAAAGTCTTGTATCTTACAAGTTTTGCATATACGGTTTTAGCTCTTCTGAGCCCTCTACCAATAAGGCACCTGCAATAGTTAAGAATTTGCTACTGCAGCCTTGGGGAACATTTCTTATTGTTGTGTTGGTGCTTCTCTGACAACATACACTTTTAATCAAGACAGTCACATTTATATACATCCTAACTTTGAAATAAAAACTGCCATTGAACGGATGGACTAGAATAAAATCATAAATACTTAGATTAATCATAGCAGCCTCTCAGAAATTTAAATTTCATAAAAATATGAAATGTTAACAGAGGTGGAATGGCAGCTGACTTTATGAAAGCTCACATGCTGAAACCATGAAATTTCAAGCTATCGTGGAGCTATTCTGCTATCAGGCAGCATTCCCTCTATAAATAGCAACTAGCTACTGGTTTCCTAAAGTCAAACTAATGATGACTTTGAAGATCAACACTGTCCATTACCCTATCCATGACTCAAAATGAAGGACTCTTCCTGTCTGAAATAGGTAATCTCCTGGGTGTCATCTTAACTGCAGATGCTCTTGACAGCAACAGGAACGAGTGATTCAGTCAGATTGCAATAGGTCCAGGTTAGTGTCTTGTAAGGTTGCCATGCTTCTGGAGAACATCATGCAAACTTCTTCTTGGTGGCAGTAAACCTCTCCATGTACTAAAAGTCATGAAATAAGAATATATGTGGTATTGTGGCATGAGTATTTAAACATTAGCCTATTTATTACTTAGGCTTTGGTATGATATTTTTCCTCATTTAGGTTATTACTGGGTAGATATGACACAAAATCGATGTAAATGTAAATTTAAAACACATACTTTTGGAGTTTTCAACTTTTTCCTTTTTATTTTAATAGGAAATCTATCTAACACAAAGATGCTTTACCAAGATGCCTAAAAGAAAAAGGGTATTGACCCAGTCCCATCAGTTAGTTCTTAGAACCCACCTTTCAAAACAGGAACCACATTCTATTAACATAAACAGGATTAAACATACATGCTCTAGCTGTAAATATTCGTATGGGTTCCTTCACCTTTTACCTTCTTAGTAACAGTGACTTGAAAAGCATAAGTACCCAAATACATACCTTATCATAGCCTTCTAGTTCTCGAAGTTTCTTTATTTCAAAGAGGTTGCCTTCCACAGCTAGCAGACAGATCTGGGAATCACTGAGGATACTCTGTGGAAGCATACTGAGCTCAAGGCAATTCTCTTCCAGGCGAAGAACTTTCAGGCGAGGACAGCAAGATATCTTTACCGAAATCTGAGATATCTTTGAACCACCACAACAAAAAAGATTAGGAGAAAGTATGAGCACTATAATGGTTGTTTACTAAATTAAAACAAAAAGCTCATTACTTATTTGTCCTAGTTCTCCTTTCTTTTTCTGCTTCCATCTTCTCACTACCTACTCATTCCAGAAGCATCTGTTATCTAGTTTCTGTTAACTGCTCCTCCACTTCATTTGAAGAAAAAATTTCTGAAGGTCACCAGTAACTCTTTGGAAACAAAATGTTCTCATAATAAAAACACTATTCATTATAGAAAATTCGAGAATCACACATGCTTGAAGAAAAAGTTACCTGTAATCCACTGCCATAAATACTTTGGTACATTAACTGCCAATTTTTTATGTGTACATACATGCCAATGGCTGTCAGTTACAAGGATTCATTGTCCTTATTCCTTGTTTCATTTGATTATCCTGTTCATTCTTTGAAGTCACTACTACTTGTACCTAAGTACTGAGGATTTTTCTTCCTATATTTTAATTTATGCATACAAGAATTGGGGTACCTGCCAGAGATATGGGGGTGGGAGTGAGGAAATTCACCAGATACAGAGTGGGGAACAAAATGGGCAAATTGACCGAAATCCATTGCTGAGGGGAGCAGCAGGCAAGACCGGAGAGGTCTGCTGCACCATGTGGATCACCTCACTGGCCAGGGGTCCAGCTTGTGCTGCAGTGACAAGATAGCTTCATAGTGCTGCGCTCAGACCCCCCTGTGCCACCAGGGAGGTCCCCTCCTCCATATTTTTAATTTCTGATTTTTTTCCTTCTTGTTCCTATTGACATTTTTAAGGAACAATCCTAATAATATTTTCTGTCTAAATATTCTAGAAAGCGCAACTATTCTTAAAGCTATCAGTTCTATTAACACCTCAAAACAATGTATATTCATATATGTACACCTCTATTTCAAACCTGTAGTTCTGGTTTTTAGTCATTTCCACTTGGACGATTTGCCATTGTAACATGTCATTCTTAGTGCCACTCTTTTAGGCAGTGAAGCTCAATACCAGGCAAATTACCTTTGACTCGTTTGCCTCTCTTGCCCTTTAAATGTTCCATGTTATCAGGTTAGATTTACTCTGCCTGGAATACTTTCAGGCTATCACCTGGGAGCTTAATAAGACTATAAATTCTTAGAACCTACCCCAGACCTAGAGAATCAAGCAATGAGAATGGTAGCCCATTCTTAACAAGCTTTCATATATTGCATACACTAAAAGAACAGATGAAAGCATCAGCATAGGTAAATATGAAGTGAGTGCCCAACTAACATTGTTGCTTCCTTTTTTCCAAATACTTTTTCCCAAGAAAGCTTAAAGCATACAAGAATATCCACTTTTAGGGAAATATGAGGCCAATCTCCTCCAAGACTTAAGAATTTTACAATAATGTAAGGTCATCACAAGCTAATATAATTTTTCTACAGTAATTACTGTAATGATTGTAGTGTTCTATATCTGTGTTATACAGTATGAAGCCACTAGTCACATAAGGCTATTAAGCACTTGAAATATGGTTATGAAGAATTGAGTTTTTAAATCTAGTTTAAATGAATTTTAATAGCCAACATGTGTTATTGACTACTGTATTGGACTATAGATCTAGAAAGACAAGACCACCTCATCTGCTTTAGATACATACTAACTTAAGAGTAATATAAACAGTTCTCAAATACTATATTTAAAGTTGTCCAAGAATAAAATGTGCTATCTCCAGAAAGTCTATTACTAATAACTTTTTAGTGAAAGCAGTATATACACTGGACAAAGATAGCCAAAAAAGGGCAAATGAATTACTGCTGATGCCCAGTTTAGAACCTAAGAGTTTAAGCCTCTTTTCTATCTTCCTGACATCTTTGCTAGATGATTAGAAGTGTTTGAGAGGAGGCTCAAAGACTTCAAGATTTGTCTGACAGGAGTTTAATTTTTGATGCCATACCCTGTTATTCACTGTGACTTTCCTACACAACACCCAGTGTCTCAAATAACTCCATGGCATTTTGGGTTTTAAAATTACGCCAGCCCATAGAATGTAGTTCTCATCTAGCCTCATACACATAGTTCCCCGGATTCCAGTTCCATGAATGAAGAGGTTATTCAGGAAAAGGTAAACCCATGTAATATATATAGGAAAAACTCTAACTTAAGCTCTAGACCTGGTTCTGGTTGAGATTGAGTTCGATGATCTGCAGGTCCCCCACTATGTCGGGTATGCTCCGAATCTGGTTTTTTGAGAGATCCACCACATCCAGGTGCCGTAGGCTACAAAGTTGGGGTGGTAGGGCTCCCAGTTGGTTCCCAGAGAGGCTCAGGGTCTTGAGGGCAGAGAGTTGCCCAAAGGTAGATGGCAGCTCTCTCAAGTGATTGTTGTTTAAGCTTAGCGTCTCTAGTTTTTTCAGATTGCATAATTCATCAGGAAGAACAGCTAGCAAAAATAAATAAACAAATAAAGCGTTTATGTGTATTAAGTGGTTCCTTTTGTAAAGGGGTCGCGCAGCACAATGGGACAGCAATTTTCTGCAATCTAGAAGGTTGGCCCTTCCCATTCCATCACTCCCTCCCAAATTAGCAACAAAACCAGTTTTGTTTACATCCCAGGGATGTTCTTCCCTTTCGTGTCCAAATTAACCCAGCACCCATCATTGTAACACGAGAGGAGGCTTGCAGATGTAATTATAAGTAGAAAGTTTCAAGAACTCTGACATTCTCCTGCGTCTTGAGCTCTCTGAACTGTTTCATAACAATAAAAATGAGCTCGAGCGAGAAAACCACCCTTCTTAACTGCTGATCACTAGCAAAAGCTTCGCAGGCACAAAAGCCATACTCAGTTTGTTGTTGTTCAAGGAGAGGCTCTTCAGCAGCGTGAACTTCCCTATAATCATAGGCGGTAGGCTCTCGATCTTGTTGCTGGACAAGTCGATGGTCCTGAGATTGCTCGTCAGCTTCTGCAACTCTGAGGGAAACTGGGGAAAGAGCACAGCGCGGGGAATCCCTCACCGATTAACTTCACCGTTCCCGCCGTCCTATCCCTTTAAATTCCCTGGGTCCCTCCCAGTCTCACCTCGGTCAGTCCACGGTCCTTTAGCTGAAAGACACCAGTTTTCTGAGCGGTTTCTACATGGGCGCGGAGGGCACTGTTTCCCATTCTCGCGCCGCGGTTCAGGTGCCTGCGTAAAGGAAGTGCAGCTGTCACCACTAACCCAGGCACCCAGCCACCCCGTCGGTGTCCCTGTTGGATCTCCATGCCCCAGTCGTCACCTTCTGCAGATCCCTGGATCTTAGGGACTAGCCCAAGAGTGGCAAGGCACAAAGGGAAGAGCAGACAATCCAACCACCAAGCCCTGCTGCTTTGTGACCGTTCGCAGAGTAGACGCCTCTAGGAGCCTATCCCGGAGCCCGGGACTCGCCTACCCAACTGCTCTAAAGGAAGCCCCGGCACCGGTGTTCGCCCGGGGCTGAGCTCCCCGGGCTTCCGCCTAGGAGGAAACGCCCTGTGACGTCATCAGTCCGCGCGGCGCGTTTCCTGGAGTTCCACTCACTCTGCGCGCCACCCAGGCTGGCGGGTCCCCGCCATGGCAGCGGCCAACCCCTGGGATCCGGCGTCCGAGCCTAACGCTGCCGGGCTGCTGCTGGGCCATTTCGTTGCTTCGGGAATGGTCACTCAGGTGCGTGGGCGGTGATGGCGTCATTAAGGGGGTGCCGACGGTGGCGATGGAAGGTAGCTGTGAGGTGGTAGTGCTGATGGGTAGTTGTACTAGAGCTAGCGGAGCCCTTAATGGGCAACAGCGAAAAGACCGGCCAGACTTTGGAACTTGGGTAGAGTGGAGGGAGATTGATTAACCCATCGGGTTTTAGTTTGGGCCGTAGTTTTAGATTGGGCAAAGAAGATCATATTTATAGGCCAAAGGGAAGAGAGAAACTGAAGATGTAGGAAATAATGGGATATAAGTGACAAGGGGTGGGAAACTTGAGATTGAGGGAGATACATTTTGAGATACAGACGAAATTTAATTTCACTAAAAAGGAAACTGTAAATTAGAAAGGTAAAATCAACTGCCGAGATTAGCAGTATGCACATGAAAGGCTAATGGAAAATACATATTTTTTAATACTTAAAAGTCATTAGACAAGTCAGTTTACCTTAACCGTAATTATAAGACGAAGAAACAAAAGCCTAAAGGGACCAAGAAACTGACTTGGTTACTCAGTGAAGTAAAATTAGGTCCTGGAGGCTCCCTTTTCTGTTACACTATGTCATTTCAAAGATGAACCTGATAATGATATTGTGGCAATATCTTGACAGAGTTTCAGCTTCTTTGGCAGAATTCTCCTAGATGACTTGAAGACCTAGTAACCACATATTCCAGATTGGAAACTTGATGGGGCTAGGGGCAGTAATGAGTCCATCAGAAAATGAAACAATCACAGCACTCCCCACTCACTTTCTTCACCTCTCTGATGTTTTCTTAACAAATTGCCTAGTACTTTCACTTGTCCAATTCTGTAACCAAGTAATTTGTAAATTAGTAACATTTGGTAAATGTTGTCAGGCAACACCACACTGATAATGAAAGGGGAGTGGTCCAGCAGGCTACATAATGCAGGATGTTGCTCCAGAGCAAGACCCTGGCCCTTTAATTGATAAATTGGTCATACAGCATCAGTCATATGGGGAAGCAGAAAAGGAGACTGAGTAGAAGAAGCAGGGTAAGGGTGGAACTGTACTCATCTGCTCATGGCTTGGTATGGTAGATCAAGCTCTGACTCCCCAGTCAGGATTTCAGTCTTATCAATAAGGCGTTCCACTGATCAGCTTCTGGGGTCCTTATACACCAATCAACACCCCCTCCCCGCCCTCCCGTGTTCTGGGTCATACTTCTTGATGCACACCCTTCCCAGGGTGATCTAGCTATCTAACTTTATGCTCTTATTTGATTTGCCAGGCACCTTGTAGGGTTGGGCTCCTGTGACCAGGCAGTTCTGACCTTGCTTTAGGAATACAGAACTGTAGGTAACAAAATAGAAGTTGGATAGGCCGCTTAGGATTAGCAGACCCACAAGCAAACTCAAAATATTTGGTATTAATTCTTTTAGAGAATATTGAGGAGATAAACACCTAAACCAGCATTTCTGGTGAGAACATTTTGGGCATTGATGTATAATCTGTTTGGTGGTAGTTTGAGGGGAAGAATCTTCCTAGTGTCCTTTAACCTATTAGACAACTTTTACCTGTTTTTCTTTTCCTTTTTTTAAAAAAAATTTTTAAAAAGTAGGCTTATTAGGAAGACAGGAGAGGAAAAGACACTTGCATAGGCACACGTGGACAGAAGAGCTGACCCAAAAGGGACAGGTTTGCAGAGAAAAAGACCTGCATGGCTGCAGGCAGGCGGCCTTAGGAGAGAGGCCTCCACTGAGGGAGGTCAGTGAGAGAAGACCCTGCATGGTACAGGTCACAGGCAGGCGGGAGGCTGCTGCCCGCAGAGGGAGAGAGTGGGTGGAAAGAAGCACCTGCATAGGCACAGGTGGGCAGAGGAGCAGCTGCTGCTTTTACCTGTTTTTCATACAGGTAAAATCTGTAACTCTTTAACACCTTAAACCTCTCCTGCAATCTTGAAGCACAGCTAGACTCAGTGAAGAAATTTTACAGATTTGTATGTGATTTTTCTTTTTTTTTTTTTAAGGTTTATTTATTTATTCATACAGAACCGAGGTACCAGCCAGAGGTGCAGGGGCTGAGAGGATTCTCCAGAGACAGAGTGGGAAGCAGAACAGGCAGATCAATGAAATACCGTGCTGAGGGGAACAGTGGGCGGTCAGGAGAGGTCGACTGTGCTGTGTGGATCACAGTAGGGGATTGAACTAGCACTGAAGTGGCTAGACTAGCTTGCAGTACTGTGTCCTAGCCTGTTGTGCCACCAGGGAGGGCCCTGTGATTTTTCTTTAAGCAAACTTTACATATGTAAACCTACTTTTTTTTTTTAAAGATTTATTTATTTATTCATATAGAACTGGGGTACAGGCCAGAGATGTGGAGGGTGAGAGGATTCACCAGAGACAGAGTGGGGAGCAGAACAGGCAGATCGACGAAGTACACTGCTGAAGGGAGCAGCGGGCGGGTCAGGAGAGGTCTGCCACGCCATGTGGTCTCCTCCGGGGGCACGCGGGGATCGAACTCATGCAGAAGTGGCTTAAGCTTCTCAGTGCAGTGCTTTAACCCGCTGCGCCACCAGGGAGGGCCGTAAACCTACTTTTTGATAGAAATATTTAGCATTTATTCTTTGTAAATGGTTTGGTATATGACCCTCTTTAGTCTGTTCTTACAGTGCTCAATCATCCCACCTGTATTAAAAATTAAAACTGATGCCTATAATTATACCACTTTGTATATAGATGTTTTGTACTTTGTTCTGTTTTGATCTGCTTATTAAAGAATTATTTCTGGAAAGAAAGGTAGGGTAAACTGTCTGTAGGATAATGGGAAGTATTTTAGTTTCTGTCCTGGGGCTGCTCTACTTCTCTTACATCACAGATATTCTGGCAAGCTTAAGTGAATCATGGCATCTTGATCATCTTGATCAAAGCTCCCTCTGCTGGCAGTGGATAAGATAAGGACCTGGGCCTTCCAAAACAGCTCACCTACTATTTTCACATATCTCAGCCCTGTCCTCTTCTGCACACCCTCCCCCATTTCACAGCTTCTGCTCTTAACTTTTCTGCTGTACTGCCTCCTTTTTAATGCCCCCCCCATCTGGAATGAAGGACAAAATGAAGAAGAATGTCCACAGATACAATTTTTATAAAATTGTTACTATGTTGTAAAAATTTTTATATTAAGTAAGCTGGGTCTGAATTTCAGCTTCTAGTGCTTAGCAACAAAGTCAACAGAAATGCTCTACACAGACTCTTTTAGGACCCTTTCATTTTTAGAGTCCCTTTGCCCCAGTTGCATGTAAAATGTAGAGTATATAACTGCAATAGCCAAAAGAAAAGACTTTTCTATATTCTTCATTTCTTGCTTTTTTTTTTTAAGGTATGGGTTAAGAAAATACTCAAATAGTTAGAATTTGGTTTACTAGAGGAATTTGGCTGCTCTTTCTTTACTTTCTCCTTTTTGGCTCTCCCTTTCTTGAACATTCTCTTTTCCCTCTGGGTTCTTTTGAATGTTCTTGGCTGAACTTCTTCACCCTCTTGTTGAACCCAACAGTTTGCAAATATACAACTGAGATTATATACTAATCTCAGGTATATATATATACCTGGAGAGATGGAGTGATAACAGTGAGTAAATGGGTTACATTGAGATGGGAGATGTTCTACTTTATTTACCATCTACTTAAGAGAGAGTAGAAAGAAAGGGAATGTCAGATGGATATGGAAACATGAAATATTCACCATATTTCTCATTTTAGCCCTAATTTACACTGTTACTGTGAACATGAAATAATATGTAACTTCCCTGTCTTCAGTTCTGTCATCAGTAAGATACCTTATATTAAACACTTTAGTGAATGGTATAACTATCTGTTCAGTCACCTGAAGCAGAATCTTAGGAGTCATTATTGATTTGACTTTATCCCCCCCTCCCTATTTCATTTAGGATTTAACAATTTCATCTTCCCAAGGATTCATGTGTCTCTGCCTTGTTTTCTTTTTTGTTGTTGGCTAGTTATCACAGTGGGTTTTTTTTTTAATTGTGTAATATATACATAAAAAAGCTTGCCATTTTAACCAGCTTAAAGTTTAGAAAATCAGTGACATGAAGTATATTCACAATGTTGTGAAACTTATCAAAACATTAGCCCAGTGGAAACCCCACCCTTATTAAGCTATCACTCCCTATTCCTTCCTTCTCCTAACCCCATTAGTTTTATTTTCCATGCTAACACTGTTTAAATATCTATGTATTATTTGTGATGTTACTTCTTCAACAGGAAACTTTCAACTGCTCTTATTTTTGTCACTATGATTGTTTATCATAACACTACAGATCTACAATTGTGTTGGCAGCTAGATTTCCAGCTTCATCTTCCACCTTGTTAGTGGTGGGGGAAACACACTTATTTGTGCTGACAGTTATCGAGCATTTATTTATTTATTTTTAAAGATTTTTTTTTTAAAGTTTATTTTTACATCATTTTGCACATTTTTTTTTTCATCTCCATTGTAATCCCCACGGGTTTCCCATCACCAAATCACCCCTGTGCCACCACCGTAGTCCCGTGCATTTCCCTCCCTCCCACCCCCCTGTTTTTGATCCCATTCCCCACTCCACCCCCACAGAATGTCTCTGGTCTATGGTTGTTCATTATTTTTGTTATTTTCTCGCCTGGTCCATTATACTCCTGCTATGAGTGAAACCATCCGGTATTTTTCTTTCTCTTTCTGGCTTATCTCACTAAGCATGATCTTTTCCAGCTCCATCCAAGTTGCTGCAAAAGACATGTGTTTCTCTTTTTTGGTTGCTGAGTAATATTCCATTGTATATATGTACCACATCTTTCTAATCCAGTCATCTACTTTTGGGCATTTGGGCTGCTTCCATGTTTTTCCAATTGTAAATACAGCAGCAATAAACATGGGGGTACAAGTATCTTTTTCAATCAGTGTTTTTGTGTCTTTTGAGTAGATACCTAGGAGTGGGATTGCTGGGTCGTAGGGAAGCTCCATGTTTAGCAGTTTGAGGAACCTCCAAACAGTTTTCCATAGTGGTTGTACTAGTTTGCATTCCCATATTTTTAAAGATTTTTATTTATGCATGCAGAACTGGGGTACAGGCCAGAGGTGCAGGAGCGGTGAGAGGATTCACCAGAGACAGAGTGGGGAGCAGGACAGGCAGATCACAATGAAGTGCACTGGGAGGCAGTGGGTGAGACAGGAGAAGTCTGCTGCACCCGTGGGTCACCTCCCTGGCTGGGGATCGAATTCATGATGAGGCTGCTGCAGCCAGTCTAGCTTTGCAGTGATGCACTTTAGCCCCTTGAACCGCCAGGGAGGGCCTAGTGAACATTTATAACATTTAATTCTTTCTGATTTGAATATTTTTTCCACCCATTGTGAGCTTGCTAACATCACGGGGCTTATTTTATTCACTATTTTATATCTTACATTGCATATTCAGTAAATGTTTATAAAATTGATAGTAAACTTTTGCTATGAAGGACCAGAGAATAAATATATGAGGTATTTTTAGTCCATAGGCTGTTGCGTTATTGAAGCAGCCTGAGATAGTTGGTAAATGAATAAAAAAGTCGAGTTTCAATAAAACTTTATTCTGGACCCTGGAATTTGAATTTCATGTAATTTTCTTATGTCAAAAAACAGTATTTCCCCCCACCCCCCAACAATTAAAAAATACAAAAATCATTGTTCACAGGCTAAACAGAAACAGGAGGTAGGTTACATTTAGTTTCCTAACCCTTGCTCTAGGTGATCTCTAAAGTTCTTTCCTATGCTAACATTCTAGAAAAGAAGATTACACAGAAAATTAGTTATTCGGTAAGGAGATAAACAGTGTTTTTACTCTGATAAAACCTAAAACCGAAGGAGGCAATAAAATGGAGACTAATAGAATGAAACAATTAAAAGAAAGGGGTTGTCTTCTTATAATGAAAAAAAATTATTTAAGAGACTGAAAATATAAAGAGACAATATGTATGACATGTAGCCTTTAATAAATCACGATTCTGTGAGGTGGGCGGGGGGGGGGCTGGGGGAGTTTGATTTTAGCCTCAGGAAGATTAGAGAAACTGGTTCCTGGTTATTTATGTAGGTTATTCTCCAGCAATATTAGCCTTAGAATACTTTGATGAGCTATCAGAAACACGAGTCTATTATGTAAGGAAATAGTATAAAATGATTAAATCTTATTTGGTTTTCTTTTAGATATTTGGGGGAAGGATTTGTGATAGTGGAGGTTTTAAAAATAGGAAATACGGCCCTCCCTAGTGGCGCAGCGGGTTAAAACACAGCACTGAGAATCTAAAGCCACTTCCGCATGAGTTCTATTCCCGCCTGCCCCGGAGGTGACCACATGGCGCGGCAGACCTCTCCTGACCTGCCCGCTGCTCCCTTCAGCAGTTTACTTCGTTGATCTGCATGTTCTGCTCCCCACTCTGTCTCTGGTGAATCCTCTCACCCTCCACATCTCTGACCTGTACCCCAGTTCTGTATGAATAAATAAATAAATCTTAAAAAAAAAAAAAGGAAATACTCTTTCTCTGTAATTTTTTTGGGGGGTCATTGTTGGGCCTAACATAGCCTTATACTTTAGACCTGTGAACCTGCTATTCCAATGCACAAAGAAACTTATGTGACATATTGCTCCTCTTTCTGTTCACTTACCAACAGGAAATGTTAGATATAGCTAAGAAATCAGCTTCTTGCTTTGAGAACTTCTCCAGACAACAGCAGATCACAGATATTCAAGCTGAAATCAACCAGGTAATTTATGTTAGACTTTTTGCTTTCTACTTCTAGTATAGGAAAGAAAGCCTTAGTTGGTTCTGACTACAATACTCTTGTACTTAGAGCAGTGTCTAGCACATAGCTGGATAGTTTTTAATTTTAGTAATTAATAGTGGTAATAATATTAATGGTAATAATAGTAGCAGCAGTAGCAGCAACAGGATTTGAACACCAACATGAAAATCTTCAGTAAATCCTCTGGGTTACTAGCATCATTCTCCAATAGCCCCTAAATATTCCTGGGTTTAAAGACTATACAATTTCATTAAAGGTTAAGCTTTTAATTCAGGCCACTTCCTGACTGAGCTACATGTTACTTTTGTTCCTAATGTAGAAAAACCTGGAAATTGAACTCCTAAGACTAGAAAAAGATACAGCAGATGTTGTTCATCCTTTCTTTTTAGGTAAGTGATTTATTTGGTTAAATACACAATCATTGGAATTCCAACTTTTTTGGAGGTTACCTTAAATAAGCACCAGACAGTCCTATTGACTTAACTAGTACAAACAGTACAGAAAATGATCAAGTTGGGAAAGCTTGAAAGACAATGAAAAGCTCTGAATTTTCCAGATTAAAGGATACTAAAAGGACATATTAGTTAGAGCACAGGGTTGAATTTTTTTTTTTAAGATTTATTTATTTATGCATATAGAGTTGGGGTACAGGCCAGAGGTACAGGGGCGGTGAGAGGATTATCCAGAGACAGTGGGGAGAACAGGCCGACTGATGAAGTACATTGCTGAGGGGAGCAGCGGGCAGATTAGGAGAGGTCTGCCTCACCATGTGGTCACCTCCAGGGCAGGGAACAAACTCATACTGAAGTGGCTTTAGCTTCTTAGTGCTGTTTTAACCTGCTGCACCACCATGGAGGGCCCAGGGTTGAATATTTTTATTAGAAAAAACTTTTTCTGTGAAGGATTGTTGAAACACTTGATGATGTTTAAATATGAACTATTTTTAAGTATTGGTAGTATTTTACCAGTTAAATTAAAAAAATATATATTTATTAATGCAAAGAACGGAAACCATAAATTACCTGGAAGCAAAGATAGGCCAAACACTACACGACATACACTTTAGCCGCATTTTAAAAGATAGAGCACCCAATGCAACAATAGTGAAGGCAAGGACAAGTAGATGAGATTACATCAAGTTAAAGAGCTTCTGTATAGCAAAAGGGACATTACAAAAGACAAACCGACATCCCACTGATTGGGGAAAAATTTACTCACATAAAACTAGCGATAAAAGGATTGATCACAAAGATACATGGAGAACTGATGAAACTCAACAAAAATAAACAACCCTATCAAAAAATGGGCAGAAGAGCTAAAAAGACACTTCTCCAAAGAGGAAATGCAGATGGCCAACAAGCATATGAAAAAATGTTGAACATCACTTGTAAGAAGGGAAATGCAAATTAAAACCACAATGAGATACCACCTCACTCAAGTGGAGAATGGCACATCTTCAAACAACTAACAACAACAAATGTTGGCAAGGATGTGGAGAAAAAGGAACTCTCCTGCACTGCTGGTGGGAATGCAAACTAGTACAACCACTATGGAGAACTGTTTGGAGGTTCCTCAAACTGCTAAACATGGAGCTTCCCTACGACCCAGCAATTCCACTCCTAGGTATCTACCCAAAAGACACAAAATCACTGATTCAAAAAGATAATTGCACTCCCATGATTATTGCTGCTTTATTTATAATTGGAAAGACATGGAAGCAGCCCAAATGCCCAAAAGTAGATGACTGGATTAAAAAGATGTGGTATATATACACAATGGAATATTACTCAACAACCAAAAAAAATAAACACATGTCTTGCAGCAACATGGATGGAGCTAGAAAAGATCATGCTTAGTGAGATAAGCCAGAAAGAAAAAAAAATACTGTATGGTTTCACTAATAGCAGGGGTATAATAGACCAGGCGAGAAAAATAACAATAATGAACAGCTATATACCAGAGACATTTTGTGGGGGTGGAGTGGGGAATGGGATCAAAAACAGTGGGGGGAGGGAAATATGCTGGACTGTGTCTTTCCCAAGAATAATATTCTAAATATGTAAATATCTAAAATACTAAAGGGCCCTCCCTGATGGTGCAAGAGATTAAAGTGCAGCACTGAAAGCAAGCTGCAGCTGCTTCAGTGTGAGTTTGATTCTCAGTCCTGGAGGTGATCTACAGGTGAGGCAGGCACATGGGTGACTTGGTGATGGGAAACCCATTGGGATTACAACTGAGATGGAAAAAAATGTACAAAATGATGTAAAAATAAACTATTATATTTAAAAAAAAACAAAAAAAATAAACTATTATAGTAAATTAAAAAAAATTTATTTATGCAGGCATGCAGAACTGGGGGCAAGGCCAGAGGTGTAGGGGTAGTGAGAGGATTCACCACAGAGAGAGAGTAGGGAGCAGAACAGGCAGATCGATAAAGTATACTGCTGAGGGGAGAAATGGGCAGGTCAAGAAGGGCCTGCCTCACCATGTGGGTCACCTCCAGGGCTGAGAATCAAACTCACACTGAAGCAGCTGCAGCTTGCTTGCAGTCCTGCACTTTAATCTCTTGCACCCCCAGGGAGGGCCCTTAAATATTTTAGATATTTACAGTGGTATAAAAAATATTATTCTTGGGAAAGACATAGAGAAGTGTTAGGGGTGAAAGGTCATGATATCTGCAACTTAATGTTAAGAGGGTTAACAAAAATACTGTGTGCGTGTGTGTATGTATAAATCTACATGTGCATAAATACATGGATGGGTGTTCAGAGAAAGAGGATAATGTAGAGCCAAATGTTAACAATTGGTGAAATGTATATAGGGGAGTTCAATAAACTATTCTTGAAACTGTTCTGTAATTTTGATATATTTTCAAAATAACAATTCAGAAGAGATAGCTGATAGCTCCTAATTGAATTCTGGGGAAAATACTGAGAAAATAAAAAATTGTTTATTAGACAAATGTGGCTTTTAGTATTTAATGTAGAATATCAGTGGCAGAAATGACAAAAGACACTTTATGTGAAGAATATAACTGGCTATAAAAACTGAACTAGAAGTTGAGTTGAAAACACTTAGAAATAATTTAGCAATGGATTTGGTTGTTAGTTGGAAAAGTAAGAGGAAATTGTTAATATTAATGGGCCTACTTAGTGGTGCAAGGAGTTAAGTCTCAGCACTATGAAGCTCTAGGCAGGTACTACAGTGTGAGTTCAGTCTCCAGGATGCTGACACACATGGCATGGCAGACCTCTCCTGTCCTGCACACTTTCCCTCTCAGCAGTGTATTTCAGTCAGTCTGCCTGTTCTGCTCCCCACTTTGTCTCTGGTGAATCTTCTCACCTCCTCCCCACCTCCCACCCATCCTCACATCTCTGGTCTACACCCCAGCTCTTGTATAAATAAATAAAATAAACCGTGTGTGTGTGTGTGTGTGTGTGAATGATATATCTATATATTTGATTTCAGGGGAAAATATTAAGAAAATAAAAATTGTTTATAAGATAAATATGGCTTTTAGTGTGTGTATGTGTAGATATATAATCATAAATTTTACTACATATATCTATTTTATATATACATTTACTATATATGTTAAAATTGATGTTGCTATTAAAGATAGCAAAGGGAGAATATTTGGAGAGAATTGGTTGGATTGATTATTGCTTACCAAAGTAAAAAGAAACATTTAGTAATTTCAAACTTTGTTTGTCCTACTGCTAACTATAATTAATTGTTTCTGATTTGGTAGCTCAGAAGTGTCATATTCTGCAAAGCATGAATAATCATTTGGAAGCTGTGCTAAAAGAGAAGCGGTCCCTAAGGCAGAGACTGTTGAAACCCATGTGCCAAGAAAACTTGCCTATTGAAGCTGTTTATCACAGGTAGACTGAAAAGTAGAGATTGTTACATATCTTTTCTAAGAATAGTATTGTTTACTAGTTCTTTTATAGCATAAATCATTAAGCAATATACTAGTGATTGTATATGTTAACATTATTACTAATTATGGTATATCAAACTAGAAAGAAAATCCTTTGCTTTTCAAGAGTTATAAGCTGTGGTAAAGAGTTCCTTTCCCCTGTTATGTTTTGGGAATTATCCATTATGACTTTAATGACTTTAATGATAGAAATTGGATCTGTAACATAAAGTAAGATAGTTAAAATTTTTTAATATGTGTAGATTGTATTCTGTGGAGGAAGTTTATTATTAACTAATGTTGCCTATATATAAAAATTCTAGTGGGGGAGTTTAAGGAAGGACAGATGAAAAAATGTTAAGTGAAGGAGGGGAAAAAAACTTGTGTTCTGGTCTCATCTCTGCAGTTCATATGCCTCAAAGCTGTGGGCAAATTATTTAAATTTTTGTCTAGGTTTCCTATTTCATACAATGGGGATTCTTTCTATTGCTTTCTTCCTTATAGGGCTATTACAAGTTATCAAGTTGAAAAAGTAGTTTATTAATATTAAATAGTAATAAAATAAGGAAGCAGGCATTTGGGAATATGATCGCTAACTTCTCTACCACTACCTTACTAGCTGAACATAAGCAAATCACTACCTTGCTTAATGTCAGGTATCTTGTAGTAAATTAATAGATATTAAAAATCTCTTTCTTGTGTATATAATCAGGATCTACTCAGTACAATACTATTAATGTGTATATTACACATTTCATATACATACATGCACACACATCAGAAGACTAAGTAGTGATTGTAAAACATTTTGTAAATGCATGGATTCAAAATAATTGTTACAGGTATATGTACTGTCTTCACTCTTCACCAACAGTGAGTAGATTGAATTGGAATGAGGTTTTAACTAGGGAAATTCCTTTATATAGATGAAAAGATATTGACATTGAGGTTTGTCTAACACTAGTTTGGGTTCCAGTAAGATCAGTGTTGTTTCTTTTTTGCGACAAGTTAAATCTCACTAAAAGTAAGACTTTTACTTGCAGCTATATGGTACATTTGCTGGAGTTGGCAGTGACTTTCATTGAGAAATTAGAAACCCACCTTGAAATAATTAGAAATATCCCTCATTTAGATGCAAATCTAAAGAAAATGGTAAGTATAATAATAGTACTTAAGTACCTCATCCCTGCCTTTCACATCACTTAGCTGTGTTCAGTTTTTTTAATATAAGAATCTCAAGTGCAGTTTCCTTGTTTAACTTTTTGATAGCTAATATTATGAACTAATTTTTTTTAAAGCAAGATGTTCTTTTATATTATATTTGGAAGTCACTTTACAGTCATGATGTAAGAGTCTATACTGTAGTTATCATGAAAGAGAAACAGATGACCAATCTCAGATTTTCAGGGTTTAGTGAAGTGAAAGAGTATTATTTTATTTGCACACTGAGTACAGCAGAGAATTATAAAGAAGATGTTATCTATGAAGCACATTTCAGGTTAATTTTTTACTTCTTATTGTAAGGAAACTAAACTTTCAGATCTACTTTTACTCCTTATTGTACAGAAACTGAACTTTCAGTTCTACATTTTACTACCTATTATAAGGAAACTATAGTTTTATAAAAATGGAAAGGCAAAATAAAATGTTAAAGGTCTAAAAAAGGTATCTTAAAGAAATTTCTTGTATTTAAATGACTTGCTGCTTAAGATTAATATCAGTAGTGTACTCACATAAAAAGCCAAACATGGGCTCTTCCCTGGTGGCACAAGGGGTTAAAGCACTGCATTATGAAGCTCTCAGAAGCCACTGGAGCACGAGTTTGATTCCCAGCCAGGGAGCTGACCCACATGGCATGGCAGACCTTTCCTCACCCACCCACTGCTACCCTCAGCAGTGTACTTTGTCAAACTGCCTGTTCTGCTCCCCTCTCTGTCTCTGATGAATCCTCTTACCCACCACACCTCTGGCCTGTACCCCATTTCTGTAAGCATAAATAAATAAATCTTAAAAAAAAAAAAACATTAACTTTTTCATCTGCAAAGACTCCACAGCATTCTAAAACTGCCTTTACTAACTTTAATAACACAGACTGTTTAGTAATCTAATAATCAGGCTACTCTTATACTGTCAGGTGTGGTTAACTGAGAAGTCTTATTCTGTCAGCATTGCTAAGTCTTGTTAACACAACAAGCACAAAGAAGGAATTACTACCACTTTAGGGAGTTTGTAAGTAAGATGGGGGTAAGAATATTTTAAGTTTTACATAGGAGTTAGTAATGAGTTGAATCTTGAACAAAATTTTGGGGAAAAAATGCTTTGGCCAACAGCAACAGTGTGAGGAAAGACATGAAAAATCAGTGTCCAAATGTAATTCAGGAGAACAGTGATAGTCTACTTTGGCTGATGCTTGAACCAGACTAAGAAATTTAGACTTTATGCCTGTATACTAGAGAGCCATTACCTTTTATTTTGTTCTGTAGAGTAGGGCACAAAGAAGTGACTTGCTTAGTTAGAGCTGTACGTTAATCATAGAGGAAAAAAGTATGGTGAAGAACATCAGCATCACCTGGTAACTTGTTAGAACGATAGGATTGTAGACTTCATTAACCTTGACCTTTAGAATCTGATCCTGTGTGTTTTTTTTTTTTTTTGTACTGCATTTTGTTTAGCCTTTTTATTGTTGGAAATATATTTAAAAATTGTTCTGTGGTAAATACACTAATGCACATCATATAGTTATATTCTTATAGACATGCTCTAGTATTTTTGTGAGAAAGATTTCCTGGAACTTAATTTCTTTTGCCATACACCTACTCTACCTTTAATGGATCCTGATTTTGTTATTGCAGGAACTAGTATTGCTTCTACTGGATTCTTTTTATTTATTTATTTATTTAAAGTTTATTTTTACATCATTTTGCACATTTTCTTTTTCCATCTCAATTGTAATCCCCGCGGGTTTCCCATCACCAAATCACCCCTGTGCCACCACCATAATCCCGTGCATTTCCCTCCCTTCTCCCCTCCCCCCCCCTTTTTCTCGCCTGGTCCATTATACTCCTGCTATGAGTGACACCATCCGGTATTTTTCTTTCTCTTTCTGGCTTATCTCACTAAGCATGATCTTTTCCAGCTCCATCCAAGTTGCTGCAAAAGACATGTGTTTCTCTTTTTTGGTTGCTGAGTAATATTCCATTGTATATATGTACCACATCTTTCTTTCTTTCTTTTTTTTTTTTTAAGATTTATTTATTTATTCATACAGAACTGGGGTACAGGCCAGAGATGCGGAGGGTGGGAGGCTTCACCAGAGACAGGGTGGGGAGCAGAACAGGCAGATCGACGAAGTACACTGCTGAGGGGAGCAGCGGGCGGGTCAGGAGAGGTCTGCCGCGCCATGTGGTCACCTCCGGGGCAGGCGGGGATCCAACTCATGCGGAAGTGGCTTAATCTTCTGAGTGCTGTGCTTTAACCCACTGCGCCACCAGGGAGGGCCTGTACCACATCTTTCTAATCCAGTCATCTACTTTTGGGCATTTGGCTGCTTCCATGTTTTTCCAATTGTAAATAAAGCAGCAATAAACATGGGGGTACAAGTATCTTTTTCAATCAGTGTTTTTGTGTCTTTTGGGTAGATACCTAGGAGTGGGATTGTTGGGTCGTAGGGAAGCTCCATGGGTCGTAGGGAAGCTCCATGTTTAGCAGTTTGAGGAACCCAAACAGCTTTCCATAGTGGTTGTACTAGTTTGCATTCTAATCCTGTGTTTTAACAAACTCCTCTGCTGACTTCCGTGCACATTTGAAGTGGAAAACTGTGGGTTAGAGAACTAGGCAGAAGAACCAAATTGGAGAAACTTGGAGACTAAATATAATCATTCAGATAAAAAATTTAAAACAGAAAAATTAAAGATTGTGTAGATTTTTAGATTTTGGAGTTCAGATTTCTACAACGTGGCTATTATTTGGACAAGGTAATAAAGTTTTCAGCCTTGTGACTTGAGGATGATAATGATGAAGGAGTTAAAGTGGGGGAAACACATTTTAAGGAGCCCTTGTATAGTGGCCTGGAGAAGGTAAAGGTTTTAACTTTTGGTATTGTAACCTAATAGTGATAAATTAGTAACAGATGTAATTTATCTCCTATTTTTTCTTTCAAAAATCACAGAGTAAAGCTTTAGCAACGACGGATATTTTGGTGACTAAAACAGAAGAACTGGCAGATAATATACTTCAGTGGCGAGAACAACAAAAGGAAGTCTCCTCTTGTATCTCCAACATATTAGCTGAAGAAGACAATCTTCATAAACACTATCTTCATAAACATGACATTGTAATACCTTCTTTACCTTTTACTTCTAAAGCTCATGTCCAGGCTACTAAAGCCAAGTGATTATGAACTATTTATTCTTGCTTAAATGTATGTAGTCCTGTGAGGTCATTTCTAGTCAACTGTAACAAGGATATTTATAGTTTTTGCTGCTAGTAATACTTAAAAAGCTCTCTTTGTATTGAAGTACTAAGATCCCAAGTTCATTAGGACCAAACTGAATTTTCCCTTAATGTTCCATATGTTTTTATTCCACTCTTTCAGTGAAACTAGTCAACATCAAATGTAACTGACAATTAACAAACATACCCTAATCATATCTCAGACAATAGATATTATTATTGTCTTTTTTTTTTTTAATGCTTTCTGCATTGGAAGAATCGTCATGAATCTGAAAGTAGGTTGATTATTCCAAAGGGATTTCATAAAGGGTACAGAAAAGAGTAACATAATATAACTGGCTATCTTTTGAAGGCCTTCTTGCCTAACATCTGTGAACTAGGCAAAAAAGGCAGAGCAAAGCAAAGAAAAAGGCACATTATTGTAAAACTTTTAGAGGCTTGCCTCAATTATTTTATCTGAGATTATTGTGCATATCAAAGGAGTAGTATATTAACAGTTGTCTCAGGATATATTCATTTGTACAACATTATAATTATGCCTGGTTTATTTTCAGACTTGGGTTTCTCTTTTGCTTTAAAATGTGTTCATGGAAAAAAAAAAAATGTGTTCATGGTACAGACTACTCCTGTCTCGCCCACTACTTCTCTTAGGAGTGTGTTTCAATAAATCCACCTTCTCTGTTGTTAAAAAAAAAAAAAAAATAATGTGTTCATCAGTATTTTCATCTTCTGCATTCTGTATCACTAGAGTTACTGATTCTTCTATTTATCACATTCCTTAACAAAGTGGGTGAATAAAGTAGTTGTTCATACGAAAGCAGTATCATCACCAAAAACTATCCTGCTAAAATAACCAGGGATTTTGTTTTGAAGCTGACTTTTGCAAGTGAGATATAGAAGAGTGGTCATACTACCTTACACACTGCCTAACACATTTAAGCACAACTTTTAGTTGTATTTCATCAGAAATTTGTTCAAGCCCAGCCTTGATTTCTAACATCTTACTGTTTTTTTTTCTTTGTGTGTTTTCTGTGTGTGTGTTTGTGTGTATTCACAAATATTAATGTGACTGGTTTCATATATATGTATGTATGTATGTATGTATATATATATGAAACCAGTCACATTAATATGGAGTGGTGAGTACATATGTATTTGGTTTGTCTTCAAAATAAAAATGAACTTGTTTTTAACTAAAATTTAGTAGCCCTTGTCTGAGTCTTCTGTGGTAGAAGATTCTCTATTTAGCTTACATAGAAGCTATCTAATTCACAGGAGTTTGAGATTAGTTGAACCTGAGGTATACCTCAAAGTGAAAAGCTATTTATTGCTGTATTTATAAAAAAGGAAAAATGATAGAAAAACTAAGCAGCACACCAACAGTTCCAGACCAGCCTTTCCAAAGCGGTATTACCCACACCTCCATAATGTAAAAGAAAGATGTTCTAGAGCTATTTTTTGTTTGTTTTAAGTATCCATGTGTCCAAAAATTGAATTTAAAAAGTTGATCAGTAGTTCTATTATTTTTTTATTCCCTGCAAAGTTATAGTGAGTAGAGAAGCCATTCTGAAGATTAGAATTGCAGGTGAATCTGAACTGTAAATCTGCTGGCCTGATTCTTTACTCTGTGGTGAGTACTTTTTTTTTTT